AGTTAAGGCTGCCCAGGAAGCTGTAAAGAAATCAGAAGAATTTGACATAAGGTAACCTGGTTTATGTTTGACATGCACATGCTTGGATCTACAAGTCAATGAATTTGAACGAGCACACTTGATATAATGAACTTCAACGGACACAACAACTTCATTTTTTGTTTTGTCCCCTTGTGTGAGTGGCAATTTGTTAAACTAAAATCCTTGCAAGGATAAGATGAGAGTTGAAAATATATAGCATAGCAGAGGAAGACTTCAATAAGTCTATATAAAAGGCTCTCCTCTTTTCTCTCTTAGTATGTTGAGAGAAACATGAGACTGAGAAAAGGGGTGGTTCTCTTACCCTGGACTTCTCCAGCTTTTTGAGACCAAATCCTGTTGCTAAACATCTCCACCACCATCTGTATTCTTCAAAATCTCTCCCAGCCCTCTGTCACAATCTTGTATGTCTACTGGGCAACCGCCGCAACCCTATCACCAGATCTATCATTCCATTCCACATTCCCCTAACAAGTCTACGAACAGATACCCCATCTAACAAGTCTACCAACAGATACACCATCCAATTGGCAAATCCCTTAATGACCACAAAATTAAACCCCCCGGCTCTGCCATAACACCATACAAACCAGGATCTAGACCAACCAGTTGCCAAACCCTACAATGATCACACAATGAAAGCCCCTGCCTCAGCCATCCACGATGATGACATCTCTGTACCATTTCTTCAGGCTGTTTCTCGTCCTCATTTTTTGTGCTAGCCATAATGAGTTATTGACAAATAAAGAATGGGATTGATTGGAGATATTTTAGTGGCAATGTTTACTTGCACCTCTTTCCTTTAATTATGAAGGGACTGAATACATGCCAGCTTTTAGGATGGTGAAACTGGTGCAAGGTCGTGCAAATAAGGGTGCAGCAGACAAGGAAAGAGATTAGGGGCAGAGGAATGAAAAGGGCAGATGGAGGATCCGGTGTTGACTGCAAAGAAATGATAAATTGTGAGGTGGAATAAACTCTTCGTGAGTTGAGATAAACCCCCATGAAACTAAAGGAGAAGAGTGAGCCTAACAGCTGAAATTGACAGAAGGGGTAGAGGTATACCATTTTTTGGATTGTAGTGGGTGGTACGAAACTTCCAATAGATTAGTTATTATAAATAGGGTGAACATTGATGAGTTACTATGTACCTTAAGTTTGACATTCTCAAATTTGTGTTCTGTGTAAACAGGCTGAACATGGATTGGATTACTAGTTGTTGGTTGTCCATGTAACTTGTTTTGAGAGATGAGGCAAGGGGGTCAATTTGAAACTGTTATTGTCTGTTATTATCTGGTTCTGTTGGATTGTTTATATCTGTATGTTTAAGTACATCTACTGGATGCCTATCTGGTATTCTGCATCTTGTGTTGGTTTGCCATCTTAGTTATCATGAGCTTTCGTTAACTTTTCCAGTTTGCCAAGCACATGGATAATCATGTATTTCAATGGCTTCTTCCCCTCAAACTTTGTTTCTGCTAATTTTGCCCTTCTCTCTCTTTTCAGGAGGAGTCCCATATCTATTGCTGCTGCAGTTATATACATAGTCACGCAGCTTTCAGACAATAAGAAGCCCCTTAAAGGTAAAGTTCGAATCCATGTCGACTCATTTGTTAGGACTTGACCCTCTTCCAAATAAAACAGAATTAAAAAAAGTGCACTTTGTAAACAATTATCTGTGAATAGTTGGGGATGCACGTGTGAAATTGTAATGTTCATAGTCCAAACAAAATTACAAAAGTAAGTAATCCTCACGTAAGGATGCCATTTCGTAAGTATCTGTTTTGGAAATTTGAAGAGCTCCTTGATGCATGGGTCCAAATTACTTCACAACTACCACTCCCTCTATCAGATTTTGATTCTCACTAGAAACTCATGAAACATGTTTTTTTTCCCCCTTGATGTGGCTATTGTATTCACGTGCTTGAACAAGATATTATGGCTGCAGATGTTTCAGTTGCTACTGGAGTTGCAGAAGGCACAATCAGAAATTCTTTCAAAGATCTCCATCCCCATCTTCCAAAGATAATACCTAGTTGGTATGCCCTGGAAGAGGATCTTAAGAACCTCTGCAGCCCCTGATTCGTCGACTAAGCAATAGAAGATGGACATTTTCAAAATTAGTTCTTATACTTGTTTATTTTACATTTCTCAATGTTAGTTGTAATACTTGTTTAGGATACATAACTCTGAAATGTTAACCTTTTGCATTGACAGAATAATCTTAAATTATGCTTTGATCGAAGGAAAGTTTCAAGAAAATTGTAGCAATAGAAATCCAAGTTCTACATGTTCTCCTTAGTGATGTTTTTCGAGCTAAAATTACCTGAAGCTGAGCTCATTGCGTGATTAAGTTGCATTTTAACTTCATGATTAGTAAAATTTCTTTTTATCAGGTGGATGGTATCCAAGCATGACTTGAAATTTTCTTGACATATGCTACACTTAAGTGTCAATGTAGAATATGTAGCAAAATTCTGTATCCCTTTTCCTCCTCGTCAACAACCCCAAAACAGAGATTCTTGTTACTGGACATTTTCTTTTTCTGTCGTGACGGTAGGAAAGTAAGAACACTCTTAAACTAAAATTGAAGGATGTAACCAGTCAATTACTTAGAAAAGAATTCAATCTGTTAAACTTGATTAGCATTGCCTCTCGAGGCTTTCCATTGTAATCCATGTCATTAGACTACAAGTTTCAACTAATGGAGAAGTTGAGACTTCGAACTTCAAAAGGACAAAATTGCAAATGCAGAATGGGACAAATAATACTTCGAGAAACACGCACGCGTATGAATTGGCAGTAAAAGTGAGAGTGTCTCTTCGAAATCATGAACCCACCACTGCTGTTGCTCTGGGCGGCAATGCTTTGATTTTTCTGGTGTTTCTTTTGTAGCTGTAACAATTGGTTTCAGTCACTTTGTCTTGGGCTTTGTCATAGGTGAAGGCTGTGGTTACATTCTGCACTGGCTTATTGCCATACAACCAGAAAACTTAATGAGAAATTATTTTATCAAAAAGGTAATTAGAAGTTTTGATAATTGTAACATTAAGGATTGACAAATAGTACTATTCATGAATCTGGTAGCTAGGTGGATTTCAGCTTTCAAGAAAAGTTTTCCAAAAGCCTGGTGACCTCCCTCGATTAAATTTATGATCCTCCAGTAAACAAATCTACCGAGTAATGTGAGCGATGAAAGTATCCATCTCAGTGCTATTATCACTACCCTTAATCACTGACTGCTTAAGTGCATCACTTAATTCTTCTGCCCTCTTCCTCATCTCTTGTCCTTCAGTCGAATTCATCAGTCTTTTTACAGCATCTTCAACTACTTCTGCTTTAAAAGATTCATCTTGATGGGCTAAATCCCCCACCATTAGACCTGTTTTGAGAATCTTGGTCACCAGGATAGCATTTCTTGGCTGGTCAGAATGCATAGGCCAGGCTGCCATAGGCACCCCCATGCTAATGCTCTCAACGCATGAATTCCATCCACAATGGCTCATGAATCCACCTGTTGACGGATGGCCAAGAATTTCCAACTGCGGTGCCCATTCTCTCAGTATAAATCCTCTTCCATCAACTCTCTCTTCATACCCTTCTGGCAGTTGAGCTTTCCTACCTTCTCCAATAGAAACATCTCCTGTATCTGCATCTCTCAGGACCCACATGAATTTCTGTCCACTTCTTTCCAATCCAATCGCGATCTGTTCCACTTCTTCATCTGATAACGAAGTTGTTGAACCGAATGAAACGAATATCACTGATTTTGGAGCTTGTTTGTCCAGCCATTCCAAGCATTTATGGGATTTTTTAGATTTCTGGTCCTCAGTTATCACCAGAGGATTAAATGGACCGATTGCCCAATTGTTTTCTGTTTCACCGAACTTTATTTCCGCAAGAAGGTTAAGATATTCACCATCTATCAATCTGGATGAATTATACAGGTTTCCCCAGTTACACTTTCTTGCTTCTTGTTGCACCTTGAAGAACTCTGAAAACTCTTCTGGGAAGCCGCTTGCGGGAGTGGATAAAAGGTCATTTACTGGTTCTCCATCGGCCAGGACGGGTTTTCCCATGGCTTCCCAGACGTAAGAGTAGAGAGCAAAAGCCGAAACACTTTGAAAGCAGTAAGATTCGGCATTCGGGATGGATGGCATATCCTGGACAACATAACACATGAGAGAGTCATGAATTACTACAACTCTTCTTGCTGTGCTCGAGAGTTTGGTTACAAGTTCACAAACAGGCTCACAGAGATGCAACGTCGCGAAAAAGGCCGGGACGAGCTGTGTGGGCAGCTTTGTAGGGGCTTTGGGGTCAGGTGGAGGCGTTGGAAAAGAAGGTAGTGGGAATTCATGGAAACGGATATCGGAAATGGCTAGAGGATCCCATCCATGCACTCGATCTTTAGCCTGGCGGTTGTGAGTGGCCGAGCCAACAAAGTGCACGGGTATGTTGTAGGATGAGATGAGGCGGGAGAGGTGAAGGAGCTGGTTGAGATGCCCTTGCGCTGGAAGGGGCACCATAACCACCACCACATCTGTTTTCTCGTCATAGCCGGCTTTTGCCCCGGGCACTTCAAGTTTTGCCATCTGAAAAAGTAATTTTTTTTCGGGAAAATGGCCAATTTCGTCCCTAAACTTTTTTTCTGTGTCAATTTAGTCCATGTATATTTTTTTTGGCCAATTTGATCCTTATACTTATTTAACGGTTCTAATTGAGGAACTCCGCGGCGGCGCCACCGTATAAATTCAATCAAATCACTAATTGAACAATTAAGTAAGGGTATTTTGGATAGTTCACTGGGACAATAACAAAAGAAGTAAAATCCTTGAAGGATCCAATTCTAAACCTTGGATTCTTGACTAACAAAGTCTCCAAAGGCTGTCCGAACTCCTCTCCCATTGCTTAAAAATTGCCCAGTTTTGCTTTGTTTCTTTTCAACTGCGTCAGAGAGATCACAATTTGCGACGTCCAATTCTAGGACTAGTCCGGCCTCCGAATCCACCGCCCGCGCCAACTCCTCCACCCTTACCAAATCCCCTATGCCCTCCACCAAAACCTCCTCCAGCCCCAAAACCACCACCTGCACCACCTCCTATACCTCCACCTTTCCCAAAGCCACCATCTGCTCCACCCCTTTTTCCGCCACCGGCCCCACCTCCAGCACCTTTGCCAACGCCTCCTCGGGCTCCTCCTCCTACACCTCCACCTGCTCCACCTCCGGCACCCCACTAATGCCTCCAACGACCCCTCCTACTTCCCCGCTTGCTCCACCCCCAACTCCACTACCAATCTCTACCAGCCCCACCACCTACACCACCACCTACTCCTCCACCAGCTCCACCCCCTGCACCTCCTCCAATGCCACCTCCAGCACCACCACCTGCACTGCCTCCAACTCCACCACCACCACCTGCTCCTCCAACACTAGCTCCAGCCCCAGCACCACCACCTACACCTCCTCCAGCGCCACCTCTAGCGGCACCACCACCACCTGCACCTCCTCCAACTCCAGCTCCTCCATTAGCACCTCCAACGCCGCCTCCAGCAGCACCACCACTACCTGCACCTCCTCCAATTCCAGCACCACCATCGGCACCTCCTTCAATACCCAGAAAATCCTCAAGAATGTGTTTGTATCCCGCAACATAATTAAACAAAAATCAGCTACCCAAGATAATTTAAATTCTTCCAAAAAAATAAAAGAAAAAGGGGTGTATATCAGGTATAAGGCGCTCTGAAGAACAAAAAAAGTGATAAAAATCGGTCCCCAAAACACTCAACTCTGTTGGTCCTCAAACGTATCGAAACAGTTGGGAAAAGAAGGGAAAAGCTCTGCTGGTTTGTAGTGGAAAGGGATTTTCGAGTGGTGATAATCAGTAGCCGAATAGCAGAGGAAACCGAAATCCAGTGGAGCTTCTTCAATAAAGACTCAATATTCTCAAAACTCGATTGGAATCTTGCCAACATAAATCTCAGCACCCAATTCTAAGTTTAGAATAGAATTGGGTCTTTTGCCGGATTATTGCAATTATAAAAAGCTAATTGGGTCCTTTTGCCGGATTTTACTTCTTTTGTTACTGTTCCAACAATGAACTACCCAAAATACCCTTGCTTAATTGTTCAATTAGTGATTTGATTGAATTTATACGGTGGCGCCGCCGCGGAGTTCCTCAATTGGAACCGTTAAATAAGTATAAGGATCAAATTGACTAAAAAAAATATACATGGACTAAATTGACACGAAAAAAAGTTTAGGGACGAAATTGGCCATTTTCCCTTTTTTTTCAGGCAATTTGTGATTCAGTGTTTGTGGTGTATATATATATATATATATATATATATTTGTGTGATTCAGTGTTCAGTGTTTGTGGTTTAAGAAGTCCAATTTTTGGTAATCTGAAAAAACTTTTGTTAGAATCGCTTGCATGAGAATTGTTTTTTTATATGTCATCGCAAATTCAAATGGGGTCTAAGTAGTTTTTGAGCAAATATACGACTCAGAATGTTTAATCCAGAATTTCAGATTATTAACAGCTTACATTTAGGATAATTTTTGCCAATTAATTCTCTTTTACATAGCTAATTTGGGTCCCACATTCACCACTTTTAAGGCCGGCCTCAGCAAAAACAGCTTAATTTGGTCGGAAGAAAAATCACAATGCTGTGAGAGGCTGAGGGCCCAATGGTCTGGTTTGGATGACTCTAGTCTTGTATTACTTATCCCAGTTGGAAAGCATCTCCATCGAGATTATAAAAATTAACACAAATGATGTGGACTTACACTTACCGTCTTCATGCGCAAATCCGTCTGCTGGCCGGATCAAATATGACGTGGACTTACAGTTTTCAATTCTTCCTGAATATGGTTTAGTATATTTTATGCAGCAGTACCTTTTCATGGAAGTAGTGATAAATAAGCTATGTTTTTAAACTCAGATCGGACCGGTCGGTCCGACCTATCGAACTGAGAATCGGCCAAGTATTCGGTCCGAATTATTCTAAAAAATTGGTTGAGTAAAAACTCGATTAAATCTGGTCAAAATTGAGTTTGACCGAAAAAAACCGGAAGGATCGGTTTAGTCAAAGCCTTTTTTAAAAAAAGGTCAAACATTTTCAATATTATGTTTTGATCCCTAAGTTATTACAAATTATTAATTGTCCAAAAATTTGATGTTATTTTTCAATCAAGTCCATAATTTTAATTCTAAACTTGTTAATGTTCATTAAATAATATAAATTGCTACTTGATCGTTCTAATTTCTTTGTATTTTCTTGTTAAATATATTTGAAACATCAATTATATATGAATATACCTTTATTAATATTAACATGCTCTTAAGTATTTTACATACAATATAATTTTTATTTATGACGTCATCTAGTTCAACTCCGATCGAACACATTGACCCCTGAACTCGACCGAGTCGATATCCGGTCTGAGTCTAAAAACATAGTAAACAAGTAGCATTCGTCACACCCCAACTCCACCCTGTAGCAAGGTTTTTATTGGTAGTGGATTGTCTAATTTTTGCCGGGACTCACTTGACTAACATAATAGTTTATTTTTTTTATTGTAACACAAATTATTTTATTAAATTTTACAATAAAAAATATTATAACACATTTTAGCGGAATAAACCAAACAATCTTCACTCCTAGTCTTTTTACATGAGATTCAACTAAAACACTCGATCTACTGATTGTTAGGTCATTCATATGGCATTTCAATATCCAAATCAGTGTCCACAAAATTTGTTAATATTGGAGTGAGTTACACAGCTTAGTGAGATCCGTGTATTTAAATTTTAGATGCATACATAGACCTGACATAAATAATACTCGACAAGCAAAGAAAACAAATAAATGACATACATAATAAAGGATATTGGTATTGATTATCAATGACAATTCGGTTCCATCTTATACCACCATTACGAGCTCAATATCCTACACCCAATCAATTGGTTAGTTTCGAAAGTGCCTCTCATTCTCGACCCAATAAGCGGACAATCTCCTGTCCATGAACTGGGTTGCAGACTAGTTTGTGCAATGGCGTTCAACACAACCCTGTAATGATTAACTCTGTGTAATGCTGCATTTTTTAGAGCTTAGGCAACTTCAGCTGTCAGTATTACAATGACCATTGTGAATGAAGAAGAACATGTAGTGGGAACTTGGTAAGATTCCACATGCATAGGAAATTAGCCTTGCCATGAGGCCTGTCCTAAAAGTGCTTCTGTTTAGCCAGTCTTGTGTATAGTTTAGATTCTCTTTTGTACTTTTTTTTTTGTCGCAACAATAATATTTGTATAACCTACTCTAATTTAATCTAAGAGGAGAAGGAGTCGACGGAAAAAGTCACAATTAAATGGTAAAATGAAAGGTCAAGATTGACTTCCCATTCCATCAAAAATAGCAAAAAGTCACAATTAAATGGCAAAATGAAAGGTCAAGAAGCGATTGGCAGATTCTCCTTTGTATCTTTTTTTTTTGTCAAACAGTTACACATAAGTTAGATTAAAATTAACCGAAACATTCTGAGGTTGAACCTAAGAGGGACCACAAGAAATACCCATCCAGCCAATTGGTGACAGGAAGATGCTCCTGTGGAGATTCTCCTTTGTACTTAGTGTCCAAAAACTTGTAGTGTCAGAAGAGGCACTTTAGTTGGTTAATGGAGGGAGTGGAGCACTTGCATTTCGCGCATGCGTGGAAGACAGCACACATGGCCTATTATAGGTGGCATGTAGTTTTTCAAAAACTGTTCTTGCCAATGATGACAAATTAATATAAAGTAAGGGATTGGGTTTACCCTAGAAGCAATATAACATTACTTATCTGAAGTAGAAACCAATGTATTCAGATTGAAATTTGTAAGTAAAAGATCTACCCCACGCGTAACCCTAAAAATAGTTTATGTCATGGTACTAGACCTCAAATGATTTTGAAGCCTTCTTTTGTACACTAACTAGAATTGTAGTTCCTGAGCAGAATTCCTAAACAATGAACTTTTGGCACGATCTTTTATTTATTTATTTTTTTTGGCACATTATTCATAGTTATTAAATCCTGTCAACTCGACGATTAAACCTGTCAACTCGATAAATTAACCATTTAACCTCGAGTAAGACCTTAGACCAAATAACAGAGGAACTCATTGCCTAGACAATAATTTATGAATTTAATAGATAAACTCCAGAAAATTGGTTGGTTCAAACATAGGTTAAGGGACCAATTAAATAATTATATTATTCTTACTTATTTAAATATAGTGTTTTATTATAGAGGAAAAAACCTGGGGAGCCCTTAAACTATTATCGTTGTTAACTTTTGGCCCCTCATCTAAAATTTGTTTCCGACTGATCCTTAAACAATTAAAAATGCATACTTTGAGGACTTTCGATGACTTTGAGCACAAATCTGACCGGATTTAAAGGGCATTTTTGTCTGTTCATGTTTTCCCCTCCTTTTCCCCTGACTCCTTGGACAAAGCCACAATATTCATGCTCTTCCAAACACTCCCAAAAAAAAAAAAAAAAAAAAAGAAAAGAAAGAAAGTAACGAGGAAACTGTACAAGAAAACAGAGCAAATAAGGGAAAAATAAAATCAGCAAAGTAAAGAAAAAAGAAAAAGGAGGCTCAGATTTGCCTTTAATCAGACAGAAAATGGCTCAAGCCCGCCATGGCTGCAAAAATCACAGCCTTTGATTTTGGGTGTTTTGAGGGCTTAAGGAGCTGGAAATGGAAACAGCAGTAGAATGATTGCGCTCTTTGGGATGCAGCATAAAGGGTTGTTTGGTGGGTAGCGATGAAATCACCGGCGGCGTAATTGCAGAGAGAGGCAAGAACCCTCCACAAAACTCCCTACCTCCCCCACAATTACACTGCCTCATTCTAGGGGTCCTCCTTCTACCGACGCCTCTCGATCTGAAAAAGCTGATAAAGCATGTAGAGACCAAGGCTAGTTTGTGAGTTTAGGATAGAAAGGAAAAGAAAGAAAACTCTAATGAGGACTGAGGTGAGAAGCGAGCTTGTTGAATATGGATTCTCAACAAAAAAAAAAAAAGAATCGAACTTAGTTGAGGCTCAGATCCGTCATATCAGTAAGGCAATGAGGAAGTAAACCGCCATGGCTGCAAAAACCGGTTGCATGTCGGAGAGAACCCATATCAGATTCTCCTACTTCTGCCATCCGGGTTGCCCAACCAAGATACGGGCCACTTTGTCTTAGTGCCAAATTTTCATTTGCTCAGAGAAATTATCATCATGGCCTCAGATTCAGTCCTCCGTGATCTTTCTTTCTTTTCTTTTTCTGCTTTTTTTTTTGGGAGTGTTTGGAAGAGCATGAATATTGTGGCTTTGTCCAAGGAGTCAGGGGAAAAGGAGGGAAAACATGAACAGACAAAAATGCCCTTTAATTCCAGTCAGATTTGTGCTCAAAGTCATCGGAAGTCCTCAAAGTATGCATTTATAATTGTTTAAGGATCAATCGGAAACAAATTTTAGATGAGGGGCCAAAAGTTGACAACGATAATAGTTTAAGGGCTCCTCTTTATTATATTATACTTGAAACTTGGGCTTGAACCATTGGTCCGTTGAATTGGTAACCTTATCGGAGTGATGTCTAAGCCGGTCCGATAACGATAACATATTACTATATTACTATCGTCATATTATTTGTTACACACACATATACATGTATACATACATACATGCATATATATATATATATATATATATATATATATATATATTCTCCAGCATTATTCAGTGTATAGTTATTGTAGTTTTTTTTTTCATCTTTTTGTCCTATCTCGTATTAATATATCTACTCTGATCGATGTTAGGTGTAGAAAAAGGGATTGAATTGGTCGGATGTTCATGCAAGAACATGGGATGGTTGGGGGCAGCGTGAAACGTTTTTTTTATACTTGCATTGTGGGATCCTTAACATGCAAGTTAGTATGTTACCACAGCCATCCACTTAAAGAATTTGCTTGGTGTCGAAAGACAACACAACGTGGCCAAGCCAAACACCACAAGACACCCAACAATCCCGTATGAATGAATATATATATATATATATATATATGAATTATTTTAATAATGAAGATTACTTTTTTTTTTAACGAGTACAATAATATAATAAATTAATAATATAATTGTAAATCAAATGATGGAACAAGTACTAGAGTAGGACAGAACGGCACGACACCACAATTGCAGCGTCATTCAATCCCATACCATAGATTTTGCACATGATACACAATTTAGCACAGAAATCTTAAGTGATTAAATATTGAAAAAGCAAAATTCTTCAGAGAAGAAAATTTTATGTTTGTCACGGATTTGGGGCAGGGACGGTCATCAGTATGACCGTCCCTGCACGGTTAAAAATTTGTGCGGCTGAAAATTGGCTCTCAAAATTTTGTGCGGCTGAAATAACACCATGTAACTCGAAATCCGCGCCAAGTGTGGGGCCCACCACTATCTGTTGTGAAAATACATCATGTGAAAAAAAAGTTACGCGCAGTTGAACCAATATTACGCGCAGTTGAAATGAGCTAAAATTGGCAGGGACGGTTGCACCTGCAACCGTCCCTGCCCCGAGTCCGTTTGTCACGTACAACTGGCACATACACGAATGACCAGGAATCATGTGAACTGTTGACCATTCTTCTTCAATGACGTAACATTTCTTGGATGAATTGGATTTTGCTGGATAAATGAATGAGGTTCAATTATCTTTAAGGAAAAAGACAATTTAATATTATTGTCTAAAAAGACAATTGAATGAGCCAAGAACTGATGTTTTGTGTGTCTCTACTTTACAATTAGAGATCAAAATCGAGATGTGCAAATATTTTGAACAAGCAAGAACTACTAACCAATAAACATAAACATAGCACAAGAACTATCGCAACCATGGTTCAAAGACTCGGCCGAGTCGTCATCGTTTCGATCCCTTCCGATACGATATCAGAGCGATACGATTCCGAGATATTTGACTCGCTGAGACGTCACTGTGAAGAGTTGAAACGGCCGAATCACATCGAATCATCTCGAATTAACTCGAATTTTTATTATTTTTACTAATTTTTAATTATTTTTTATTATCATATTTTTTTACAATTTTTAAAATATTAAATATTTCAAAAATTCGCGTCTCGCCTAGACCGCGACCGATATGTCTAGACCGATGTGGAACAATTCGGCCCGCGACCGCGACTTTGAACCATGATCGCAACAGGAGAGCCAAGTGTTTAATTAATGGAAATACTGTTAGAAAGATGATCATCTGCAGTCTAATTAAGATTTCATTGCACTTAATCTGACTCAAGAAATTACAGTCCTTATTAATCAGAATTTCTCCTGATTAAAGAACATATTTATTTTGTTTCGATGAACAGAAAATCTACCGACGAATATGAGCAATGAAAGAATCCATCTCCAAGCGACTAGTACCACCTTCCATAACAGAATCCTTTACTGCTTTGCTCAATTCTTTTGCCCTTTGCCTCATCTCTTCTCCTTCAGCTGAATCCATCAATCTTCTCACAGCATTTTCAACAGCCATGGATGTCTCAAGTTCGTCTTGCCGAGACCAATCCCTTACCGACAGACCAATTTTCAGCACCTTTTCCAGTAGTATTGCGTTTCTGTACTGGTCAGTATGCATAGGCCATGCTGCCACCGGTACTCCCATGCTAATGCTCTCCATACACGAGTTCCATCCGCAGTGGCTCATGAATCCACCTGTTGATGAATGTCCAAGAATCTCCAGTTGGGGTGCCCAATCCCTCACAATTATTCCTCTTCCTTCAGTTCTTTCTTCGAATCCCCCGGGCAACTGAACTCTCCTAACTTCTCCCTTGAAGATATCTCCTTGATCTCCATCCTTCAATATCCATATGAACTTTTGCCCGCTTTTCTCTAATCCAATCGCGATCTGCGTGGCTTCCCCATCTGATACTGAAGTATTCGAACCAAAGCAAACAAAAATGACCGAGTTTGGGCCTTGTTTGTCAAGCCACTCCAGGCAATAGTGTCTCTGTCCCGTGTTTTTCTGCTCATTGATCTCAACTGGATTGAAGGGACCAACAGCCCATTGCTTGTAGGAATCGGCAGTTCTGGCTTTTGCAAGAAGATCAAGGTATGGACCCTCTATAAATCTACATGTATTGTACAGATCGCCAGAGCTAATTGGCTTGGATTCATTTTGCAATTTTATGAAATCTTGCAACTCTTGAGGTAAAGAACTTGCATGTGATGGAAGATTTTCGAGTGCTTCAAGTATTTCAGGCTCGAATACTCTAGGTTTCCCTTTTTTGCCCCAAGAATATGCGTACGCGGTGAAGGCTGAGACGCTCATAAAGCTATAGGACTCTGCATTGGGAATTAAATCAACATCCTGGATGACATATGGCGTAACAGAGTCATAAATAACCACCAATCTTCTTGTTATGCTAGAAAGTTGTTGCAGAAGTGCGTAAACTGGCTCCCGGAGTTTGATGGATGCTTTCAGCATTGGGATGAGTTGTACGGGAAATTTTGTCGGGGCGTTTGGGTCAGGAGGAGGAGTTTCATAAGAAGGGACAGGAAAATCGTGGAAATGGATGTTGGAAATGGCAAGAGGATCCCAACCTTGTACTCGGACCTTCGCCTGGCGGGTGTGAGTGGCCGTGCCAACGTAGTGAACGGGTATATTGTAGGAGGAGATGAGGCGGGAGAGATGGAGGAGCTGGTTGAGATGACCTTGTAAAAGAAGGGGAACCATAACCACAGTTACTTCATGTGTTCCTTCTTCTTGAATGCGACCAATTTGGTTTTGTGCAGTAGAATGACCATTTTTGGCCATTGGCTGGATTTGGGATTTGGAAAGCTTTTTGTACTTTAGCTTGTCAGACTTGCTTTGCTCTTATAAGGTGTAAGATGAAAGCTCTGCTAATTCTACAACTCAAGAGAAGCTTCTACAACTCATCTTAATTGCAAGTGGACCCTCTGCTAATATTGTAGGCTTCCTAACCTTCCCAAGAACTCTTTCCATGATTGGTAATATTATTGCAAGTGGAACCTCTGTTAGATGACAAAGTTGGAAAGTACTTGACCATCAAGATTGCTCTGTTGGCAAAATTTGACTTTGATCCAAGTACTCATCAGTTATTCGATCTGGGTTTCCATCATCCTTACAGTTATAGCAAGGAAGCAGCAAAATTTGACTTTGATCCAAATACTCAAATTGTTGGATCTGTAGTAGGACCGACGCGCGGGTTTTACTGCAGTTACAGCAAGGAAACAGCAGAAGAATTGTACAGAAGATACGAGCATCGAGGATAAGGTGGAGGGTCGGTTGTTGTTGTCCGTTGAATTGTTATACTCCTGTCCCATTTTAAAAGTTCTAATTTTTTTTTCATACAGTTTAAAAAAAAAATAATTAATTTTATTAAAAAAATAAATTTAGATTATTTTTTTTTCTAAAATACCCTAACATTATTGTTTCCTCAAGTGGAAGAACAACCGGGGCTACAACAACAATGAAAAAATAAAAACATTGAGAAAAAGTTGTTCAAACCATCATAAAGGAGAGAAGATTGAATTGTCCAAAACAATTTGTGGAATTGGAGTCCGATTATGATTCTAGTAACTACATTTTGGATGAAAGTTTTTTCAAATCTGATTAAGGGAAAAGCTATTTAAAATTTGATATTTTCCTTGAGAAGGGGAAAATTTAAGTCAGAGTTCTTCCATTGTTAAGTTTAGTATTTCAATTTTGAAGGATTATTATTACTTTACCCCCTTAGTGTTTGGTATTACTATCAAATTTTCCCTTAACTTTGTTTTTTAGTCATTTTACCCGCAAAATTAAAGATCAAACTTAATGAAATTTATTAATTCAAGTGATAAGACATGTTTAGCTTTTAAAATTATTATTACTTTACTCCAATAAACTATATCTTTATTATTAATTTATCTCATAGAGTTATTTTTTAGATAATTTATCCCACCATTAAACCAATTTAACAAGTTAAAAAACTTTAGAAGAAAATACCCTATTTTTGTATAATAAAAACAATAAAAAAGTTAGAGTAGCCCTTCTCCTTTTTAGTATCAAGGAAAAGAAAGTCAAAATATTAATCTCTTTCTTCTTGACAATCTTATTAATATTGGAAAAATAGAATATTAGAGAGAGAG